TTTAGTAAATAAATTAAATACATACACAAAATAATAAGCACATAAATACTAAAGATTCTATTATACATATATTTAACATATAACATACGTATAAGCTTTTAGATGATAGATAAGAATCAGACGGGATTCAGAATAAATGACAGATAATGCTCTTTGACTAGTTCTATAAAAATGTGTATGCTTTTAGCACGCCTGATATTTTCTGGCATTGCATTCTAAAGACAGCTTGGATTGTAAATGATTTATGCATAAATTTACCGGCATGCATCGGTATTGACAGTTTCAAGTATTATGAAGGAATTCAAAACGTTCCTTAAGATAAGCTGGTGGATAAGGATTAAACAGAAGTCTGTAAAAAAGAGAAACAATATGTGCATTCCGGCGAAGACGAATTGGCAGCCACTTGAGCTTAGTACGGAAGCAAGGTACTCGATACAATATAGAAAAGTCTATTTTCTACATTGACTCGCTCGTCTATCGAAGACGAGACCTCAGAGATCTTAACCGGCGTGTGATAACACGGCTACTGGGGTCGCAATAGTAGATAATATTAGTGCCTGCCTGACGCCTCCGAGGGAAAGGCATTACCATATGTATAGTCAATTTTTTCTTACTTGAGATAACAAGTATACAAATTAACCGTTTTTATAAATTTTGACATGTGATAGGGTTGGGAAACATTGAATTATGTCATTAGTGACAGTGGCGTAGCTACCAAGGGGCTAGGCGGGGCAGAGCCCCGGGGCCCTCAAGCTCAGGGGGCCCTCGAATCTTTATCAGAAAATCTCAATCGAACTCAACTTTTGAAAATTTCTCCCATTTTCAAAATAAATATGACAACTCGAGTTTAATCATGGCAACTCAGTTGTAAGAAATTCCAAAGTTATAAAAAGTGAATTCCCCTAAATTATTTGTGTGGATTGACAGTGTTATTAATATTTTCATCAATTTGTTGGATATCAATATCTGTATATTATTATTTATCGATATGCGTTTTTGTGATTCGCGATTGTGAACTTCGAGTCAAGATTTTTTTTCGAGCAGTGGGCCCCATTTTTTTATTTGCCCCAGGGCCCTAGGTTAACTAGCTACGCCACTGATTAGTGATGACCTATTGAATGATTGAATCATATGAACAGAATTATTTATTATTGTAGTTGAACGATCATTGATATTTGCATTCACAATGCTGGAAGGGCCGCTAGTTTCGTGAATTAATAAAACTTAAATAAGTATCCAAAAGTTATTATCTACAGTTTAAATAGAAATTTTGCGTGTTATAAGAAAAAACTTAGATGACAGACACTCACGTAACAAAAAAGACAAAAAACTTAATATAATATATCCTCTTTTGACAATGCTATACTGAAATATACTTTTAATGAGAAACACTTAAAAATTCACTTTGCCTCTAGCTTTGTCTTTGACGTCTGAATTCTGAGAGGTCGTGGGTTCGAGTCCAATGTCAGAGTGCCAAGGACAAACAGGATTTTTTAAGCATTTTTCATTAAGATTTTTTTTTTAAATTCAATCTAATATAAGTTGGTATTATCTGAATGCCTACAAACCCTTGACTACCAGCAAACTGAAATCCTTTTACAATCTCTTAAACGAGACTAGTTCCTAGTCCATATTCATATGCATGCTTAGTGCATGCATTTTATATTCCAATTCTTCGTGTCATCCCTAAGATATCCTTTCGATCATATATCAAAGCTTCTTATTGTATTTGACACATATATACACACTTGCACACACACGCTCTATACTGCACACTACTAACACACTGTACATACAATATATATATATAGTAATTTAAAAATTTATGTAACCCTAATATCCTAACCGCCTAATATTAGCGCCGCGGCCCGTGATCGTAGTCGTAAAGCAACTTTCACAAGGGTCGGTCACGGGATGGGTGACCAAAAAATTATTATCTCGAGCTACTCCGTGCTTCGGGAAACACGTTAAGCCGTTGGTCCCGGCGGCATTTGCAGTCGTTAATATCCTCCAATCCGCATTGGGTCAGCGTGGAGGGTCATGGCCTCCTTAACCATCCATAAGGAAGGCCTGAGCCCCTGCAGTGGGGACGTAAGAGGGCTGATGATGAATATCCTAACCTAACCTAAGAATTGGTGATATGTACTACGAGTTCTATATAAGAATCTCTATCCGTACTGTAATTAATGTTACTGTAATTTTGAAAAGAAATTATTATTTATTTATTTATTTAATTATCGTTAAAAAAATACTTACATGCATATTATTTTACAAAAAGTATCACTTAAACCACTTGAGTTTGTGTGTGATACATTACACTCATGTAGTCCATATACACATATATTCATATAAACATATTATTCCGTTGATTCTTTCCTTATTATCCTTACCTTTATTATCTTTTACAATGCAGTATTAAAAAATATTAAAACAAAACACAAAATAAGGAACAATACAACAGAACTGGCACCAATAAGTATTTGTACAAACTTACAAGCAAAACTATTCCATAAGGTTACATACATTCAGCAATACTGAGATAAAAAATATGCTTTTAATTTATATTTAATATTATTTTTTGTGATTACATCACGTAAGGAGGTAGGTAAAGAATTAATCAGTCGTGGAATTATGAATGCGCTCGTCCTTAATAACTGGTTATTGAATCAGCAAGGAATTACTACGGTGAGCGGATTATTATTATAGTATTATTATTAAAAAAAAAAATTATTACCTACATTTTTGTATATTCATTCTTTTAAATAATCATACAGTGCTTTTTATAAAGAAGTTTTAGCGTCAGAGTAAAATTAAGTTAAAATTAATTTTAGTATTAGTACAAATTCATATAATAAATATTATTCCCGTAGTACCTCGCATTAGGTAAACCTTTGCCAAGTCTCTGTTAAATAATTTGAATTTTGACTAATACTAAGTGTAGTCTCAGCAAGGTTTAGAGTCTGCCATTAAAATTGCAATTTTAGTGTTAGTCCTAATTCATATTACACAGAGAATAAACAAACCTACTACCTTCTAGGTGTAAATATTACTCCCGTAAAACCACGTACTAGGTAAACCTTTGCCAAGTCTGTTTAATAATATGAATTTTGACTAATACTAAGTGCAGTCTCAGCGTAAATTTACTCCAACGCTAAACCTTGTTTATTAATATGAATGTAAGATTTCACAACGCGATTTACTATAAATTATAGTTTGAAGTATTTTTTTCATATTATTTGGTGATTGTAACGACTACGTCATATGATATGTAGTCGCATAACTTTAGGTTAAAAAAGACGAATTAATTATTCTAAATAACATGTCTTTTTTAAGTTTTAAGTGTTGTTCCGCATTTTGAGGCAGATGTCCCGGAAAAAATATAGTCCTAGGAAATCTCCGTTCTTCTTTCTATGCTATGAAGTAGTACTACCTACTACTATCGAAAGTAACGACACGCTCGTTTGATTTCATACATTTTAAATTACAGAAACAAATGCAGATATAAAAAAAAGATGATTTAGTATAATTCAAATTAAATGAAGACCTATTTTTTATATAGTTAAGATAAAATACACTAGTCGTAAAATCGATCCAACAAACTTTGTATAGTCACAACTTTGTTATTTTTTATCGAGCCAATTATTGAAATTCATGTTTCTGTTTATGCAAGCTATCAATTATATTTGGTCGGAGGAAAAGCCTTTTCGAATATAGTGTCAAAGGTCGGTCAGCCTTCATAGACTGTGGCGAAACCTGGGTTAACTCGGAACAAGGTGATGCTATGTGTATGGTGAGATTGGAAGGGCATTATTCATTCTCCATATCTTCCCTAACCATACCATATCTTCTCGAACTCTGACGAGATTAAAGCAAGAAGTTGAGAGAAAGCAGCCAGAATTAATCAATGGAAGGGGTGTGGTTTTTCATCATGACAACTAGACCTCACACATATTTTGCTACTCAGCAAAAATTAAGAGAGTTTGGCTGGGCGGTGTTAATGCATACGCTGTATAGTCCTGACCTTGCACCTTCAGATTTCCACCTGTTTCGGTCTCTTCGGAATTCTCGAAAAAGTTATCGAACCAAACGGTACCTTTAGTTAAATGTAAATAAACTTTATTAAAAAATGTATTAAATTTTCTTAAAAAATGCGAAGAACTTTTTTCCGCGGTCAATTATATCGACACCTAATTAAACCAAAATTGTTCTTTGGAAAAAAAAGTTTTTCTGCTCCAAAAAACAATTTTTGTTTTGAGGGCTACTACGTATCGATATAATGAAATGAAATGAATAAACATTTTGTAATGAATGAATAAACAATAAACATTTTGACCGCGGAATAAATGAAATGAAATGAAAATGTTTATTCATTTAATTTCATTATGTCGACACGTAGTAACCCGCAAAACCAAAATTGTTCTTCGGAGCAGAAAAACTTTATTTAAAAAAAATATTGTTATAAACGTCCATGGCAATAATCCACGTTCATCTGGAAGTATTTTATCTATTCATTTTAATATTGCCCATTGTCTAATCAATCAAACACGAAGTGTGATAAAATAAATTTAAAAAAAAATCTAGTGAATTTTAACGATGGCAATGGAAATTGATTTCTTGGCTTTTTAATATTTATTTTTTACGAAACCAACAAATGTTTTTAATCTTTCTCTTAGCCGATTCGTCATCATGACTGAGAATCGTGATCATAAATAAGGTATTTCTAAGTAATTTTATATGGAAAAAAATGAATGAAAATGAAGTTTTATTAAAAGTAAAACAAAAAAACTTTTAATAAAACTTCATTTTCATTCATTTTTTTTAATTTCATTTCATTTTTCATTCTATTATAAAAACAATTAAAATCTATGAAAATTTATACCTACAAAAAGTTTTGCAATTAATCATAATCACATTAAATAATTTATTAAAATTAAAGCTTTAATTATGACAACATTTATATAGTTTAATAATATAATATATAAAAAACAGACTAAACTTACCAAATATCGTAATGATAAGTCACAGAATAATATAAAATCAAGCACAAAATAGGTTATATTACACACTACAACACTACATTATTTTTAATAAAAAAAAAAGAAAAGAAAAAGAATGTATAAAGTCACGCAAACTTTATATTATAGACACTAAACACTTAAATTGGTCGCATTATATTTCGTTTATTCGAAAAAGTCCCTGTTAATTCGACACACAACTACGCGCTACGATGCGTCCCGAATGACTTTTGACATTACACTAACTAGGATTCCCGCCTTTTCGACGAAAAAGGCGGGAAGATGTCGACTAGAGGCGGGGCCAACCGCTTAGTACTAAAAAAGCTTAACGCCGCGTACAAGTTGAGGGAACATCAAACTTACATTCAATAACGAACCTTATTCTGGTTTAAAGTCCATGGTTACGAATGGCCAAGGTCCTTATAAGTATAATGATAAGGTTTATAATCAAAAACAAGTTTGATGTTCAATAAGATATCAATAAAAGGGGACATGACGGCACATTGCATCAAATAGAATGACAAAATTTAATTATTGATCAATTATTCTGAAACTATAAGAAGGTGTTATAACATTTCTCACCAGGTGTTGGCAACCTTTAATGAGACGGAAGAGTCAAGACATACAATTAATTCACAGTTTTAAAAATATATATAAACTAGCTTTCGCTTGGTTGCCCCGGGCTGCGAGCAGCCCGGGGAGGTAACGAGTAGCTGGTGGAATCGGGGCGGTGGGATTTCAAGTCCGCCTATTGTTATGTCGGGTTTACAGTTTGACATTACCTAGAAAAGGTCAGTAAGTTCTATCTTCAAATAAAAGGTGTTAAAGGACACAAAGCACCATACATCAAAGAAAAAGTGTTGCCAGTTGACACTTAATAGAAAAAGAAATATTCAGTCGAAAACGCAAGCAAAATTTAAAATAAATTTTGTATAGATACTTAAAATAAGTTTTGTCTTTTATGCTCTTATTCTTATTTATTAGTAAATTACTGTATAATATTAAAAAACAATCGAACATATATTTCCATCAGTGTTACTATCATTAATTAATCTATTAAATGTCAAGAAATAGTATTTATTGTATTTGCATTATTACATTACATTATTTATGTAAGATTTATTTATTATATGAAAAGGGAACCGATGTCGTGGCCAGATATTAAAATAGATCAATTCACGACGCGATGGGGTTTATAGCCCGCCTTCGTTTCAGAATAGAAGCTTTCGCTTGGTTGCTCCGGGCTGCTCGCAGCCCGGGGAGGTCACGCGTAGCTAGTGGAATCGGGGCGGTGGGGTTTGAAGTCCGCCTCCGTTGCAAATTTGAGTTTTGTTTTTTTTTATTGTTTAAATTCGCTTACAAAAAGTTAGTAAATTCTGTCTTCAAATAAAAGGTGTTTAAGCACCAAACATCAAAGAAAAAGGGTTGCCAGTTTACGCTTAACAGAAAAAGAAATATTCAGTCGAAAAACGCAAGCAAAACTCTAAAAAAATTATAGTCTCTTATTCTTATTCAATAGTTATTCAATAATATTCAATATTTTTCTCAATAATCTGAAAGTATAGAAAAATATATTTTAAGTAATAAATATAGTGTCAAAAATTTAATTTTCTTTTCTCCATACTTACCTATGTGAAAGTGTGGGTATACACAAATGGTCCATATATACACGCTATAAAGATCCCGAATTTTCAAGTCCATCAAAATCAACATTGAAATTAAAATGGTCACGATCATCTTTTAAACATTATAAACCAAATGTTCCATCAACAAGAGCGATTCGTTTCTGGCACTTCGCCGGCCGCTGCCGTGGCATGCTCGCTACGCTCGCTCGGCTCGTGCGTTGTTTTTCATACACTAACCTAACCTAAACCATATGTAACAAGTTTTTGTTGCTTTACTTATTGTAAAGTTCTTGAGCATAAACGAGTCGCTTGTGGAATCGGAGCGGTGGGGTTTTAGGTCCGCCTCTTGTTATGTTTACAGTTTGAAATTGCCTAGAAAAAGTTAGAGAGTTCTATCTTCAAATGAGAGATCTTTAAGTACGCAAAGCATCATACATAAAAAAAAGGTTGCCAGTTTACACGCAATATAAAAAGAAATATTCAGTTGAAAAACGCAAGAAAATCTTAAAATAAATGTCGTATAGATCGCCTTGTAGTCTTTGGTTCCTATTCAATAGAAAATTTCCTAAAAATCACAGTATCAAAAATAAAACTTTTATCATCCGGCAACACTTCAACTGAATACATATTTATTTTCTGTAATTAATCTGAAAAATGTTATCAGTAACGCCAAAATCAGCTCTATAAAGTAAAAAATGATCAATTTTCTAGATAAAATGGTCGCTGTCTTAGCCGCCATCTTGAATTTTGAAATTTCAGCCTCAGACCTAAATAGCAAACTTATAAGCACATTTGGTCACAGTTCCTTAACCGACTGACCAGGTCTCCATTTATTATGGCTCGCTTCGCTCGCTTTGTTTTATTGACAATTCTAATCTAACCGATTGAGCAGGTCTCTATTGATGGTGTCCTTTATGGCTCGCTTCGCTCGCATTTATTTTAGTCACAGTTCTTACCTTACCAATTAACCAAATCTCTTTTAACAGTTACTCCTTATGGCTCGCTTCGCTCGCTTTTTGTTTTAGACACAGTGCTAACATAATCGATTGATCAGGTCTCTCTTAATGATCTAGCATTATGGCTCGCTTCGCTCGCTCTTTATTTGGTCGCAGTACCTTAAGCAATTAACCAGGTCTCCATTTATTATGGCTCGCTTCGCTCGCTTTTTGTTTTATTGGCAGCTCTAATCTAACTGATTGATCAGATTTCTATTGATGGTGTTCTTTATGGCTCGCTTCGCTCGCATTTTATTTTAGTCACAGTTATAACCCTACCAATTAACCAAATCTCTTTTAACAGTTACTCCTTATGGCTCGGTTCGCTCGCTTTTTGTTTTAGACACTGTGCTAACATGACCGATTGATTGATCAGGTCTCTTTTAATGGTCTCGCATTTTGGCTCGCTTCGCTCGCTCTTCATTTTGGTCACAGTCCCTTAAACGATTGACCAGGTCTCCATTTATAATAGCTCGCTTCGCTCGCTTTTTATTTTATTCACAGTTCTAGTCTAACTGATTAATCAGATTTCTATTGATGGTGTTCTTTATTATGGCTCGCTTCGCTCGCATTTTATTTTAGTCACAGTTCTAACCTTACCAATTAATCAAATCTCTCTAAAGGGTCACTCTTTATGGCTCGCTTCGCTCGCTTTTTGTTTTAGTCACAGTTCTAATCTAACCGAATTACAATGTTTCACTCGCTTTATTTTTCTGGCGAAAATATTGGTTTTTTTTTCTCACCACGCAAAGATTGGGTAAAGATACACAAACGGTTTATAGATGCTTTAAAGCTCCCGAGTCGCCAGCTTGGTCACAATCATTCTTAAATTTATATGGTGACTACTATCAGTGCTGCTAGTCGATCACTCAAATTATTCCATCAATTATTTTACAAATCCAATAGTGAAATTTTTGCATGAAAACTTTCATTAATGATGATATACATGAACATTTCCTTAAAATCAAAGTATCAAAAATTTTTCAGTTTTTTATCATCTGGCAACACTTCAGCTGAATACATATTTTTTGTTAGAAGTATTCGGAAATGTGTTACCAAAAACGCCAAAATCAGCTCTATAAAGTGAAAGTTATGAAAAATGATCAATTTTCTAGATAAAATGGTCGCTGTTTAAGCCGCCATCTTGAATTTTGAAATTTCAACCTCAGACCCATGTAGCCCATCTATTGGCGCATCCAACGCAGATTCTATTATTTTCCTAGCGGCGATAGTGACTGAGCTAGAGTCCAAAACGTGAACAGTGGGCATTAAATCTTCAAACCGCCGTAACTGACAGGGTTGCCAGGTGTAGGCAATGATAATGGTCAAATGTGATTTCGGGAGGCGCCCTCTATCGATGGATACCAATTTTCAAGTTCTAAAATTGTTCCTTTGACAGTTACAGTTTTTGGGGTAAATCTCAAAAACTACCCTAAAATCGGGTAATTTTTTTCCACCATTTGAAAGAGTTTAAAGAGACACATAATCGCCCCATACATGCCAAACACCTGCGGGGTTGCCAAGTCGGTCAAAATCGAGGTTGAATTTCAAACGTTGTTTGCTCTCAGTGTTGCCGTTCGATTATTCTATTTTTTCCATCGGGTATCTTCAAAAGTTAAAATTAAAATATTTGCATCGAAAAAAATTCAAAATTCGACAAAAATTGTTTCCCCAAAATTCTCATAAAGTATCAAAAATTTTCAAGTTTTTTTTTCACCTGGCAACACCTCAGCTACTTGCCTAAAAATTGTTTCCCCGGAAGTAGTCTGACAAATGTCGCCAAGTGCGTCAAAATCGGCTCGACGTGGTGACGATACCCAATTTTTCGGATAAAATGGCCCCTGGTTTGGCCGCCATCTTGAATTTTGAAAATCCGGCTCCGTACCGGTGTGGCCAACTCGTTAGCGCATCCGATGCATTTTTTACCATTTTCCTAGTGGCAATACTGACTGCGCTAGAGTCGACAAAGTAAAAAATGGGCGAAATTTTTCAAATCGCCGCAACCACCAGGGTTGCCAGGTGACGACGATAAAAATAGCCAAATGTCATTTCGGAGAGTGCCCTCCTGTCGAGGAAAAGCATTTTTGAAATTCCCAAACGGCTCCTTCTACTTTTCAACTTTTTGGGGTAAATCTCCGAAATTACCCTAAAATCGGGGAAAATTTTCACCTCATACAAAAGAGCCAGCAGTATTTCACGATCGGTCCATACCAGACGAAGAGCTCCGATGTTGCCATGTAGGCTAAAAGTGCGTTTGAATTTTTCGAAAAAGTGAAAAAATCACAAAATGGCCGCTGCCGGCGCCGCCATATTGATTTTCCCGAGTTTCATAATTTTCCCATAGTCACGACTATATCTGGCAAGGGACCTCATTCACAGATTTTCTCCGCTGGCCACCCAGGTTCCCAAACAATTCGGGTTATGAGGGCATGTCGAAAAACACGTTTTCTACCGTGGAGCCCAGGGTTGTCAGCTCGCGGAAACGAAAACTACCAAAAGTCATAGGGCTCCCCCGGCGCCACACCGCATCGAGTCTGTTTTCCGCGAAAAGTGCGTATTTCGAAATTTCACTTTTCTCCCAAAATCTCATAAACCACCACGAAAATGGTAGAAATTAGTACTA